GAAGCATCGTATTAGAGATGGAGAATCGCGCTCGACGTTGATCGTGTTTCTCGCGCCACGATAGCGTGTTGTTGAACTTGCTACGATAAAGGGCTTCCGCCTCTCTTTCTCGCTCTCTATATCTCTCTCTCTTTTTCTTTCCACTTTTTCCACCTCGCTCCTCCTCGAGTTCCCAACTTTCGCTTTATAAGGATGACATTGATGAACGAAGGGACAGCGTCTTTAACACCGTCATTACATCCGGCTTCAATTTCGATCCATTTTCATTTTTATATCTAAACGATGAGTATTTACCATGTATACGATTAATGTCTCAAGATTTAATAATTTTAACAATTTCCAGTTATAAGATGTGTAGATACATTTATATAAAATGTTTTTAATTAAAACATCAAGGCAGAGAAACGTACTAATTTCTTAAACATTATTTCTTCCCAAGAGCTTCTGTAAAATAAGACTTTAGAAAGTAGCTCTCTGAAAGTACTTTTTTTGAATTCTTAAAATTTAATCGCGTAAGATTATCTACAACCATCGTTTCCAAAGCTAGAATTTTAAGATGTATCTTACATAATATATGAATTTTTTATCGACAAACATGTTTCATGTAAATTACTGATAAAATGCATCCATTTCGTTGGCACTCTATTATGCTCCAACGGACGTGGGTCCGCTGTTGTCACTTAACAGCCTGATAAAGAGGAAGCAGAAGAAAATGGACAAGTTGCGCGATACACACGGTCAGAGCGAGGATCGCAAAGAAGAAGAAGAAGAAGAAGAAGAAGAAGAAGAAGAAGAAGAAGAAGAAGAAGAAGAAGAAGAGACGATGCTTTACTCAGCGGAGGTTATTTCCGCCAGAAGCATCCAATCGTGAAAAGCGCCGAGATCTATTCTCCGAGCGAGCAGCGAGAAATAGAAAGAGAGAGGAGGGGAGAAGGAAAAGAGAGAAAGAGAGAGAGAGAGAGAGAGAGCATCAAAAGTGTGGCGCTATCGCGACTCCACTAGGGTCATCGGGCCGAGCAGAACCCGTCACAGAATGAACGAACGAACGAATGAACGAAGCAACGATCGATCGATCAGTCGGCGGAAAGAGAGGAAAATGCGAAGGATAACGGAGAAGAGGGGAAAAAGGAAACGGCAAGAAAATGGCAGGCCGAAAGAATCCGCCGGATTTCCGCTCGGCGTTAAAGCCGCCTATCAAGAATCGCCGCGTTGCGCAACGCTTATAGCCCATGTCGATGTGTACGTGTCTCTACGTAACGTATGTTGTGTGCATAGCGCGCACCCGATAACGCACGATACGAGCCGCGAGAGGGGAAGCGAATAAATTAATAGATGGGTTACGCGCGGTTTCTCCAGGGGCTCTCTAGGCTCTTTCTTTCTCGCGGCGCATACGCGACGTTGAAATAAATTTCAAGAGAAGAGCGATACGTAAGGCGTTATGTAACGCGATCGATAGTCATCAGAGCGCGACGCTATCAGTATTCTACTGAATTTATTAAGAATCCAGTCTACTCTAGCGATAGAAAAAATTGGATTTTTAGAAATTTGTTGGAAATTGATATTTTTGAGATATCGAACTTGATTAGAATTTTAAAAAATTAATATTTAACATGTGTAATCTTTAGAATGATTAGAAATAAATCTATATTATTATGTTTAATCTTTAATTAAAAAATTTCAAAATTGAATATCTAATTTTTTAAATATACTACTTTATCATGTATCTCAATTTCTTCTAATTCTAATGACATTAGATTTATCCCAAAAATATTCTATGAAATAAAACTAAATGATCTTTTTTATTTCAGACAATTACACGGAAACAGCATGTCACATTGTCAAACTGTGCATTTTTGCAGAACACGCAAAGTTTATGCTTTTAAATATCAGAAATAAAAATGTGAAATATCAAAAAGATCAACCTGTAAGATTCTCTAAAAAAAATCCTAAAGCTCATCCATTTTTCATATCGCTAAAATAGACTAGGCCTTTAAGGCGATTACGAAAAACTCGCGCAACAGCATCTGAATATGTACAAAGACCACATGTTTCACAATTTATTTTAAATCCAACGACTTGCGCAAGAATTTCCACCTTGATTTAAATATACAAATCACAAATATGTGAAATATCAAAAAGATCAATCTCTAACATTCTCCAAAAAAATCTTAAAAATCATCCATTTTTCATATCGCTAGAATAGACTAGGCTCTTAAGGCATTTACGAGAAACTCGCGCAACAGCATCTGAATAAATAAGTACAAAGCTCACATGTTTCATAATTTATTTTAAATCCAACGACTTGCGCAATTTCCACCTTGATTTAAATATATAACGCATCTTGTGCAATTTAAAAAGAGAAAGAATAGAACATCGATAACGCGAAGAAATTCGCAAAGAGTCGCAAACGATGCGATCGTCGGGCAAAATTTGCTCTGGAACACGCGTAGATCTTCGTGCGAGAGTTTCTCGCAATTGCTTCTCGTCGAATAATGCATCGCGAGCTGAAAATCCGCTCGATGCTTGCGAGCTCACGTGTCGTATCGACCTCACGTTCTTCCGCCCGGCGTATTTAAACCGCTTCCTTTCGCGGAGAGATATCGACGCGTTCCTCATCGCCGACGACGACGACGACGACGACGACGACGAGACACATCCGGTCGTCTTCGATTGTTCGACAAAGCAAGAGTCCAGACGCAAACTGACCTGCGTTAACTCGAGTTTCGTGAGACTCGACATACGCTCGGGATAATCATCAGGTCATCGGGAACGCGTTTGGGCGGAAATAACTTTCATGGTGAATTTCGAGTTTTTCTTGGCCGGTCGTTTTGTCTGCGAAAATCCGTATTTTTTTTACGTTTCCTTGCCAAAGCTTTTACTTGGCAACAACTGAACACGTGCGTACAAAACAGAGTTTTGTAGAATTGAAAACTTCAGCCGATTCTGTTTTGAGAGTCTTGAAAAGATTTAAAAATTATTCTAAGGATACATAAGCTTCGTTGTAAAGTCTCGTATTCTAAAGAAAGAAACCAGAGGAGTAAAAAATACCTGAACTTCTTCCACAATGTTCCCATAATACTATTTCCATAATACTATTGTAAATTGCAATATATTTTCTTGAAAACGATCTCGGTAGAAAGTAAAGAATCTTCTTTTCTCGCTTGATTCGCATAAAAATAAATTAAAATCAACAAGGCTCGCTCTCTATTCGTGATCAAATTCTCCAGTTTACGCAAAATCTGAGAAAAATTTAAGAAAAATTTCAAGTCACTTATTTATAAGACAACTCGTTACGCTCGCCTCTCGACACCGGACGTGTCGAAAAATGTGTCGGGTGTTCGAAATTCGCGAATCACTCGAGAATGTTGCGCAAAAAAATCATAAATTCATTCCTAGCGAGGCGTATCGTCCGCCAGAAAATGTTGAGAAATCTCGTCAAGAGGCTGGGCGCGCGAGAGTTTCGAAGGAGTTCCGAGGAGTCCCTCTCGATGTCCCGCGGAGAATATCGCGTGGGCCCGGGATACGTGGTCGGAGCCGCTTTCTATATCGTCGGAGCGCAAGGGCTCGGAATGCCCGTCGTCTCCCTTTGCGCGCAATTTGACGCGCGATCTCGCGACTCCTACGAATCCAGGATTACATGCCGCGCAACATCGCGCGCCGATTCAACTTTCACGGGGAGAGAGATATTTACCGAGAGATTGCCGAGGCATACCCATACATGTAGTGTGAGTGATAAATATAAAATTGATAAAGTGTTTCAAAAATGTTGTAACATATAATGAAAAAGAGAGATGGAGAGAGAGAGAAGAAAAAACTGCAAGCATATAGAAAGATTCTTTCCAGGTTTTGTCATCGAGAGAAGTAATAAGCAATACGTCTTTTACCTAAAGAAAATAAATAAATGTCGAAAAGGGTTAAGAAACGATCGCACGCGGAGGTGAATCGAGCCGAGCCGCGCGTTAAATCATTGATCGCGGAGCGCGTGGGTGCGTCATCGCGACGCTGGTGGGAGAATACATTTCGGATTTTTGTCCGTCGAGAATTTGCGTGCCGCTAATGGCATCGCCAACGCCTACGGGATTCGAGGCTAGGCAACCTGCAACGCGTTTCGCGCGCGCTACCGCGTAAGGCGAGGCCAGAGAGACCAGAGAGGCCAGAGAGGCCGGCCGCTGGTCGCTACCCACCCGATCCCTCCTACGGGAAGGAACGAGACGGAGAGAGGAAAGAGGGAATCGAAAAAAGAAGGACGAATTCTCTCTCTTTCTCCCCCTCGCTCGACCGGATCCAGAGCGAGAGAGCGAGAATGCCGGCCGGTCCGGAGCGAGTTTACATGTCGGCCCGATCGATCGGCTAAATCGTCGACTGAATCGCCGTATTTCCGCCGAACGAGTTCACCTACGCGTACGCCGATAGTTCTCGGTTACCGCTCTCCGGCTCCGATCCTCGAGACCGGTCCGAGTCCTCCGAGTACTGGCTCTCGTGTGCGTTTTTGTCTCCGTTTCTCTCTCCGTCTCCCTCTCTCTCTTTTCCGTTCATTCATCCGTTCTGGATGCACGAATTCAGTTTTCGCCGCAGGCCTTCGACGCCAACTTTTTCATCGATCTCTCCGGCGATTATATATCCGAGACATCATTATTTTGTATTCGACAATTCGTAGATAATAACAAAAATAATTTTGAAGTATTTGCAATCTCTTACTCTCCCTTAAATAAATTTCTCTAGAATAATTTCTTTTGGTTAGAAAATGTTGCGCTTCGAAATATTATGGCATTAATATAAAAACCGTACAGAGATATTAAAAACATCGCTCTACGTACTCGAATTTGTCGACTCGTTAAAATACAGTAATATTATTTAATTTTCATCCGCGACATATGAAGATTACTCGATATTCATATTTTAATGATGCAAATGATACGAGCGATAGGCGCACGTTGCGATTCGCGATTAGACTTGAAGAGATGAAGAGAAAAAGAAGACTGAATATAAAGTCAACTCACGTCTTTGCTCGGGACGCAGAGTGGCGTTCCTTCTTTGACGATTCCAGCCTCGACCATCACGCCCATCACGATCGGATCCCTCGAGTTGAATACGTACTGAAATACAAATTGTACGGATCTCCGTTAAAAAGTTTGCAATTTCAGACATCGCCGACGACAAATCGGTGAATATTTGGTATAAATGTTGTTCGCTTATCGCGCTCTTTTGCCAAAAAGCAAACGCGTATACGCACCTGCGGCAGAATCTTTAGCTTGCACGGGAACACAGCAATGTGCTTGTTCTCGTCTCGCTTGCGTTGCTTCAGTTCTTCCCTGTAGTTGGTGAATTTGTCGAACAAGTGATAAATAATGTCCGCCTGGAAGATCTTCACACCTTGCGCGTCTGCCAGTTCCTGCGCATCCTTTTCGATTTTCACGTCAAACGCGAGGATCGTAGCATATCTGTGAACAAATTAAATGGCGATTATCGATTAAACGCAACTTGCAATTGGCTAGCGAAAAAAATGTTCTCAGAAACTTGAAATGTCATCAGAATTCGACAATTTCTTCTTCTCATATTAGAAAAAAATATTAAAGAAAACTTTCACGAATCGTTATTTTCATTCTCAATTTGATAATAAAAGTGTCGAAAAAAATATTTATATTATTTTTATTCTGGAATACTCCAAGTGTACTTACTGGCTATCGTGTTCCAGCATAATAGAGGCTTTCATGACATCTTTCTTGACAACCGGGCCGATACGAATTCCAGAGTACTAGGAACAAAGATAAAAATATCATTAGCGAAAGAGAGATATTGTTAAATGTAATAAGATGAAACGGCATCCTGAGCAAGCGAGCGCGATTTGTCATTACGCAAGTCGCTCCGATTTCGCTCGACAGCGTGCAATGGCTGTCATCTTGGCAACGTTATTACATAGTTTCTTGCGTTACGTTATTTCGCACATTGTTACATAACGGAACGGGGGAAGGAACGATTGCCGTAACAATCTAACGGCCGGAGCCGCGCGTCGCGGACGATTTTACACTTGTGTCATCTCCTTATCTCTGTGCGAATCAGTTTTCAGACAATGTGACGTTTCATCGCGTCATTATTCACGCAAAAAGGATCCTACAATCCGTTTCCTCGGAAGTGGAATGATCGTTCCGAGAGATAAACGGATCGGTCGATGGGTTTCGTTTTGCGAATCGCTATGCCAGCTACCGGGAGCGAATCTCCGGAATCATTGCCACCGAGAAACCACCACGGATCCCGCGGGTCTAGGCAAAAATAACCAGTGACGCATGCATGTCGCCCGGATTCGGACCGTACGAGACGGGACGACACGCGCGACGCAACACGTTGAAATAAACGCGCGGCACGATGCAAACAAGCCGTTCCGCGGCTTTACCGAGAAAAGCCGCTTCGCGGCCTCGGTCGGAGAAGCGCCGCGATAGAGTCCAAACCGAATCAAATCATAAATTGAACGAGCGTCTTGATTTTTTACGAGACATGTAAGAAGCTCCGTAATATATCTCGAAATGAAAAAGCCATTCAAAAATCTGCCTCTGAAAAAAATTCCCCCCTTTATATTATTTTATATATTTAAATTCCTCGATTCTTTTTTAAATCAACGACACTCTATTAATAATTATATTTATTGCACATGTAAAAACTTTGGTTTACTCCTGAAAAGTATACGTACATGAATTCAAAATAGCATCACTGATGGGAGGGAATAAAGATATATTAATGCAGTTAATAAGAATAAATAAAAATAATCTGAAAATTTATACATTTTTAATCGCAAATTTTATTCAGAGGACGAATGATCCAGAGTTGATATTTAATGATTCTGCGAGTAATAATATCGACACACATATACATATTAATATAATTTCAGCGACAATTTATCATGTAATTCGATAGAAAGACTGTCTTAATAAGATATATTTCATGGTCATAAATAAACACTTTCAATATGTCTCGCTGAATAGATGTAAAGAAATTAATTGAGAGTGTGTACATATGAATATATTTCCGATAAGTGCCAGATTATATTGCAAATATTACACTTAATCTCAATCAATCGCCATATGACGCGAATCTTCCTTATAATTACACTCGTGCGTCTGTTTTCCGGTTATGAAACGGTCGTAATCAGCTGTTGATATAGCCAATGTATATAAAATGATACTCGATATACGAGATTAATTGCTCAGTTAAGAACTGCGATCAAATTTAAACATAGTACAAGTACAGTATAATTCTTAAATTTTTTATCTCGCTCTTCGTCTCTCTTACTTTCTTTCGATCTTGTCTGATCGTTCGCTAATCTCTGATACACAAATAACATTATTACATATAAACTTTCCTTTTGAACATTAAACATTCTATACTAAGATATGTATTAATAATATTGATATTTAACAATCTTAAAATGTAATAAAGTTTATACAATTTATTACATTTCGAAGAATGTTGCAAGTGTAGATAATTTATTTTTTTTTCTATAAATAATTCTTCTAATTTCTTCTCTTCTTTTTTCGCGCGTGATAATAAACTTTCGTGGAATTTATTAATATTTTAAAGTTTAGAAAGAGAAGTTTATAATGATATCACGTTTCACATACGTTCGTCTTTCTCACTTCCTCCACGCGCACCCTCGTGAACCGCATCCTTCACGATTGTAACGATAATTATTCTCGCAGGTATACAGACCGTGCAAATGGTAGCTCCTATTTATGGGCCAATTCTTGAGCCGGTATAATCAGGCGGTTAATAGGCAGGCAATCAAGAAGAAGTGAAAATACAGACAAACGAATGAACGGATGAACAAATGAGTGGAAAATGATATGTTCTCAAGGATTTCCGAGATATCGAAAAATTACATTGATTGGAGAATAATTATGCATACTATAGAATTTTATTAGCACGTTTTAATATTACAATTAATATAAAGAATTTTTAAACAAGTATGTATCAATAAATATGATGAAACAAAAATATGTAGCTAAAAATAAAAAATATAATATAAAAAAACTTGGCATTATAATAAGAATAACAATAAATTATATAATAACATAAATTACAATTAATAATGAAAAGTTATTATTAATATTTTTATATATATTGAAAAAAATTAAAATACAAATTAAAATATATTTTTTCCACAATGGCGTCAAATTTTCTTTGCATTTAATTTTTTCATCACACTTGATGCATTATCTTTATTGATACACATTATGATGCCTTTAAAAATTCTTTATTAGTGAATATATTTTTTACACTTGTAAAAAATCGAAAAAATATATCGATCTTTTTGTGATCTCCTCCGGAAGACCAGAAGCCCTTATTCTGGAGCAAAACGATAATAATGACGTATAAGAATCTTTTATTTGGAATTTTCTAATATTTTTTTTCATAGAACACGTAAAACAAAAATAAAGACATTTTTGTAAGGTATGTAAAGTGAATACGCTATCGATTGAACTTATTAAGAATTTGATCTTGATCGGTCCAACCGTTATTGATATCCAATAATCTAAAGTAGTCACACAACTTGGCCGTTCGATCGTGTCGTATAGACACACGATCCGCCTTGCTGTTGCTGCGCGCAACTTGGCGCGAGACACTACCATGTCTCTTGATAAGTGTGTTTTAGAACTTCCGGTGCGCGTCGCATTCCGATCCTGACATCAGATATATATATATCGTCAATTTGCGTCGGTTCTATTTATTACAAGGATATGTACGTAGTTGTATATTCGTCAAGTGTCAAAGCTAAAAAACAAGGCAACGTATACGCCCACAAATTTTTATATTAATACAATACTAAAATAACTTGAACATTTTTAGATAGTAATAATTAATTAAAATAAAACGTGTTCGCGGTAATATATTATTCGATTGATATATCTTTGTAATTTTTCTTTCTAATAACGCTTATGATAATTGCAACCAATTTTGAGACAATGTATTCGAAGAGAAATTTTTATGCAAACGAAAATCAAATTCAACAAACAATTATTTCTTTTGGAAATAATTGTAATTTATCAGTACGAGATTACTTATCCCGATATTCTTCTTCGTGCGCTATCAAAATTCATAGCAAGTCGCAAATTGACGATACTCGGCTCTGGAAGAACGGATGCTCTCAAAGGGAGGGAAAAGGGAAAGAAAGGGGGAGGAGAGGGCAAGAGGCGAGAGGGGTGCCGCCGGTGGTGGAAAAAAATTGAGCGCGGGAGAAAGACGGAGAGACGCGCAAACGAGATGGGGAAAGGGAGAAGAAGAGGGACCTAATACGACGAGAAAAAAGGCGGACACGGCAGATGTTGCCGGCGAAAGAAACGCCGCTGGTATAAGCGAGAGGAAGTTGGGAGGAAGAGTAAGACGGTGAGGAAGCGGGGCGGGAGGAGAGCGGCGCGCGGTACAGGGGGAGAGGGGGACGAAGAGAGGTGGGATTCGGTCGGGAGACCGGGGCGAGGGGGTGTGCTTCCGGCATTTAAAACCAGCCGTCAGAGCACGGATCCTCTTTAGCCTCTCGTCGTAACTGCGGCACGCTGCGCCGAAGAAGGAAACGCTAATTTATTAAACTCGCCTCCCATTCTGCTCCTCCTGCATATCCTGCCCGTGCGCGCGCGCACGATTAGCGTCACCGAAGGACAAGCGCGTTTTGCGCCTCTCGCAATTTTGGCGATGCGCCTTTTCTTTTCTTTTTTTTTTTTCTTACACGGAGACTACCGCGGTTATGCGGCCATGCGCTGATGCGAGAGACGCATCCCGTAAGCAGCGAATGATCCAAGTAAACCGCAATGTCCCAGCTAAACGTCAAAATCTCAAGACGGCTAATCATTTTTGAATGAGTAAAAAAAAAATGCTTAGATGATTATATAATTGTCGAGCTTAGAAATGACTGAGAGCATTTATTCCTCGGGTAATTCAAAGTACGTATAAAAATCTTAATCTCCCTCTCAGTTAATTATTACAGACGAGCGGAAAAATTGGAAAATGATAACTTTTCTCGATAAAAAGGTTTATTGCGAAAAAGTCGTCTCTCCTTCCATGAAGATCGAAGAAGCCGAGATTAAACAACATGTCGTGTGTCAGCACGTGTAGACGTATAATCTTGAGTTATAAAGCTCGATCGAGTTAATCGAGATTCGCGTCTAACGCGTTAACGCGCATCTCTCCTCTCTCGATCGCCTGGCGAAAAAGGCGGCCGCGAAGCGCACGCGGCGGAGCGTGCACGGGGCGTCCACGCATCCGCTCCCATGTCCCCGGCCCCGGCGCATGCAGGCCGCGCTCGTATTGCCGCGGTTAGAAACAATGCGAGGAAACGAGCCATCTTTTCCTGCTGCACCGCACCGGCGCGGAAGAGGAGCGAGTGCAAGCCGCGCGTTGCGTTTCCGCCCGCCCGTGACGCGAACGATCGACGACGCAGGTAGGTAGGTAGGTAGGTAGGTAGGTAGGTAGGTAGGTAGGTTGGTAGGTAGGTAGGTAGGTAGGTAGGTAGGTAGGTAGGTAGGTAGGTAGGTAGGTAGGTAGGTAGGTAGGTAGGTAGGTAGGTAGGTAGGTAGGTAGGTAGGTAGGTAGGTAGGTAGGTAGGTAGGTAGGTAGGTAGGTAGGTAGGTAGGTAGGTAGGTAGGTAGGTAGGTAGGTAGGTAGGTAGGTAGGTAGGTAGGTAGGTAGGTAGGTAGGTAGGTAGGTAGGTAGGTAGGTAGGTAGGTAGGTAGGTAGGTAGGTAGGTAGGTAGGTATAGGTAGGTAGGTAGGT